AAGCCTTCACTCTTGTCTCTATATATACTATCTAACTAGGGGCTACGTGGCGACGTTCTATAGGACCTCCAATATGTGTTGACTTTGTAGGACACATGCCTTGACTTATAAGGCAAGTTTTTCTACGTGTGGGCCACATAGTTAGCTTGATCTTCAAGCTAACAACATGTGTGGCACATGGCCAACTTGTTGACCACGTTTCTAATCCAAAAAGTCAATTAAAGACACCTATGAAGTCAAAGCAGCGTCTAGGAAGTTTCTAGGAAGCTTCTATATTAAATATTATACAATTAACTTACTTTTATCTACTTTTACTTACTTCTACCTATTTCTATATGTAATTATTAGCTTACATGATTATGGCCGTGACAAATATTGCTACATAGCTCCTAACTAGATAATATAAATGGAGTCAAGAGTGATGCTTATGTCACTCTTATCAACATATTTCTCATTCTTAGTCTTGTTTCAAGAGTCTCTAGTATTTTTGTCTTAGGCAATAGCCATTCTAATTTTAATACCATACTTAATTTGAATGAATATCTACTTATTTTGAATAACAAAAGAATTTATTAAGGCTTTTATTGTTTATAATTCATATCTTTAATACTTCTATGGCATACTAATCCTTATCTTCTTCATACTTTTGGTAGCAAGACTTTTAAGATTAAGTTATAAGGTTGATCTATTTGCTTCGTTCAACTATCCAATTTATTGGCATATATATTAAATTTTATTTTTGACTTCTTTCATAGCTATAAGAATAGTACATCTGTGAGCCCCAAATTCACCACTCATTACATTGATGCCACTCAACAAGTTTAGGAGGTGGAATGGAGGGACTTTTAATTGTAAAATTATTGAGTTAATTTAAATGTGGATATTTTTAGTTCAATTCAAATTAATGCCTTTCAAGCAATGATTACAAAAATTAAATTTAAATTTTAAATAAAATTTACTATGCAATCATAGTAAAAATAATTAACTAAATTATTACTATTAATTGACCATAAGAATAAAAACTTTAAGTTTGAATAAAAAATTAAGTTAAAAAGTTTAAATTAAAAATTAAATTAAAAATTTAAAGTTAAAGTTAAATTTAAAAATTTAAGTTAAAAAATTAAAATTAAAAATTAAGTTTGAGAGTTAAAATTAAAAGTTAATTTTAAAATTTTAGTTTAAAAGTTAAAATTAAAACTATTAGCTAAAAGTTAAAATGAGAATATTAAAGTTTAAAAATTAAACTTAAAATTTATTAGCCAAAAGGTGAAATGTGGAGATTACAAGTTGTTGTGAAGATGCTAGTAAAAATAAAGTAAGAGAGGTGAAAGTGAAGGTACCTAGACAACACATAAGGATTGAAGGTAGTAACCTCCTTCTACTCCAAAATTTTCCAAAATTTGTAATCAGCTTTGATTTGAATGGTTCTTAACTTGTTACAAGATTAACTTAAAGGTGCCTCTGATCCACTAATTCTTATTTCAATCTAATGATCCAATCGTGAGAATTCTTCCTTTGAAGTTGAGTGATCTAAACTACCATGATGACCAATCTTCTTCACTTAGAAATTCACTAAAAATTCAGATTGTCTTTAAATCCAACAAAAATCATGCCTTTCAAAGCTTAGCTTATAAAGCTTGATGATCTCAAAATTTCAAATAAAGACAATTATCAAGCACTGAGAAATGCCTTTCCAAACTCAATTGATTCAAACTGCAAAGGCAATCGATTCTTTCAAATTCAAAAATTCACCAAAAATTCCTTCTTACTCCAAATCAAATAAGTCTTATCTTGTCAAAAAGCTAACAAAAAAAGCTACAATCTTTTGGAATTTTATATTGAAACAAAAGAAACTAAGTGACTGATTGAGGAAAATCCAAGGCCCTTGAAATCCTTGGAATATTTGGAAGGCCGAGGAGCTATCTACCTCAATGAAGCATATTTTAAAACTTAATGACCATCCTTCACAATTCAAAATCCATACACACACAATCACAAGGTTCACAATGAGATTTAAAATCTAAATAAAATTAAGATTGGGTTTTTTTGGCCAAATTTTGGCATGGCTTCGCTTTTCATTTAAAAGAAGAGAGAGAGAGAGGCCTTGGAAAACCAATCCTCTCTTATACAATTAAGTGGAGGCTCGTAATAGGGTGGCTACATCTCTACCCTTGATTTTTAAGATTCCTAATCTAGATCTACATTCATCCAAGAGCCAATCTCGTTATTAAGGCTGATGACTCTTGTAAGTAGTCAAGAAAGCATTTTTTTGGTAAATCTAACTTCACCATTGTGTTCAAAACACCTTTTTAAGCTAAGATCGACTGCTCACATGCCTCAATCTATGCTCAATTATAATTTTTATGGAAGTTTTTACTTACAAGGATATTGACAATTTTTTGTAAAATTCTTCAAAATGAGAATTTCATTGCTTCACTTGTATTTTGAAGGAGAGGGTTCTGATCTTGTTTTCTTCACTCCATGGGGTAAATCTGGTGCCACCATTGCATTAAAAAGACTCCTATTAATGAGAAGAACGACCATGGTGCTTGAATTTGTCGAATTTGGAAGAAAATTCAAAATTATCATTGCTAACTTCCCTAAATCTTTTAGAGAATTATAATTCCAACTCCTAAATCATGTGAATGATTATAGATGCACTCATAGGATTTTAGTCAACTCTCATGGTAATGACTAACAACCTCTAAATTATTAAACTAACTAAGTTGCTATTATAATTTTCTAACTCTTATCACTTTAGTCCTAACTAACCTAATTCAAGGAATTAGGATATAATTTATACCATCGAGGATTGTAATCTTAAAAATCCTATAAAACTATATTTTATTTATATAAATCCTAATCTAACATGCCCAATTATCATAAAATAGGAAAATAATAAAAATTTAGATTCTAAGGTATAATTGAGAGTTCACAACATCTATGGTTGAAATTCACAATATATAAAAAAACTTATCCTAAAAGTATTGATCATCTCATGAAATTGTGCAATAGTTGTAAATCAATTTTCACTTCCTTCAAATATAGCATCTATAATTCTCTCTTCTATTTCTATAACAAATAACTTTATCATATCCATAAGTCAAATTAAAAGAGAGTAATTTGCAACCTTGAATATCAAATAAAAATTTCTACAAAAAGAGGTAGTCTATTTTCTTTAAAGAAAAAAATAATGTTAAAATAAAATAATAAAATAATAAAATAGATAGTTTGTAAGCTTTAAATCATAATAAGAATAGTGAATTATGACTCTTGTAAAATAGTCAAGAACATAAATTATAAAGAATCAAGCAATCAATGTATTCTTGTATTATAAGAACAGAATAAATAATCACTTGAAGATTGTATAATATTAAGATTATAATAGCTATTATTATAGATAAGAAGACTATAGATTCTTCAAATAAGACTAAGATCAAGGAAGGTGTTAACAAGAATGAAGAAGGTCTTATTCTTATCTCTATATATACTAATTAGGACGTACATGGTGACAATCTATAAGACCTCTAATACTTATCCAACTTATAAAATACATGTCTAAATTGCAACACAAGTTTCTTATATGTGCTTTGTATAGCCAATTTATACCACAAGTCACCAGTATATGCAATATGTTGCTAACTTGTTGGCCAAATTTTCAATGTACCATTCATCTATAAATATAAAGTCGAATTTTTACATATAAAGATTGTAAGAAGCTTTTCTATAATATATTATCACATTTATTTACTTCTACTTACTTCAATCTAAATCTTTTACTTGAAGTAAATATGTATGTGCATGATGGCGATTTTGATTTTTTAAAATTGTATATAAATATTTAATATAAAAATATTGATTTTATTTATTTATTTATTATAATTTAGGCTCTTTTTTTGACATTAATAATATTTCTTTAAGAATTGAATACATACTTGTTCTCTTTAATATTTTTGTTTAAAATATGTACCACCATTTGATGCAATTGCTAGAAGTAAATATAAAAAATACTAATTTGATACCTTCTTTTTATTACATGGACACTTCCTATACTAAAACTTTGACATAGACACAATAAAAACTCTTTTATGTATTGAAAAGTTTTAGAATAAACTCATAGTATTTTTTTTTGAGATTAAAATATATAAGTTTTTTAAAGTATATGAAAAATTTACATAAATTATAATTTTATTTTTAAAAAATTAATATTAAATATAAAATTCCATACACCATTGCAATCAAATATTTTATTGTATTTTTTTCTAAAATTCTTTAGTGTAAATAAGAGTTTTTTTGTCTGGATGCACAGATTCATGGCACAAGAAGGGTATCCATATAACGGTTCTCTAAATATATTGGATGATTACTTTGTTTTTATTATACATCTATTTATATTTTATCCACATAAATGTGAATATTTGATTTGCAAATTTCAAAAATATCTTCCTCATGCCAAATGTAAGAAGAATTGTTGTTAGCTTTATTCTATTATTGCAACTACCAAAAAAATTATTTTTACTACAGTAGATAGAAATGAAAATATAAAACGAAAATATTTTAAATAATTTAGTTAAAATCATATCATTCAATCATTGAGCAAAATGTCCAACAACTTATCAATCAAGACAGCATTTACTTTAATACAATTCATGTAACAAGTATACACAAGTAATAAGGTTGACACAATCTAAAGTTGTGATTCAAGCAGACATATCCTAAGCTTAGTAGCAAGAAATACCCTACATAATGTTAAATGGTTTATGGAGATCACACAAATCAACAAATTTCCATTTGTGACTTGCACACCACACCGATAACACCACATTACACTGTTTCAGTGGGACACCAAAAACAATCTTCATCAGGGGCAATGCCCATGTCTTCAAATAACTAGGGGGAAGACAAGCCGCGGCCACGCTGGGCCGTTGGATGTTGGAGTCGGGCTCGCATCGAGCCGTCCATAATTAGGGTTTGGAGGGGATGGCGCTGAAAGGCAAGGCAGGGCCACTTCGCCCTTTCTTTTCAGTCTGCGAGTCTGCTGCACGAGCCTCTGAGCTTGCAGGGCGCCTATCGTCGCTCCTACGCCATGGCCAAGACAGTGAAAGATGTGCCTTCACATGAGTTCGTGCGCAACTATGCTGCTCACCTGAAGCGCTCCGGCAAGGTACTAGTCGTTTTCGTGAGGTTTCGGGGTGCAATATTTATTTTAGGGCTTCTGGTATGGATCTTGAGTGTGTGCTCGGCTGTATCGCAGTGTTACGGAAGTGGGAAGGGCTGCAGATGTGCAGCACTGGCTTTGAATTTAGGGCGCCACTGTCGTTAGTCTTTTTCGGGGTTTAGCTCGCCAGTGGTTTTGTGCAGCGTGATTGGTCTGTTGAGGGCTTTTAGTTTGTCTCATTTTTTTGCTGCGCATGAGTATCTTCAATCATATCAGAGCTGTGAATTTGAGTTCGAGGAGCTTTATTTTTTTGTTTACAGATTGAGGTTCCTGCTTGGGCCGATCTTGTGAAGACCGCCACATTTAAAGAATTGGCTCCCTATGATGCCGACTGGTTTTACATCCGAACTGGTAAGTAGTTGCCCTCTGCGACACGTCGACATTGTTGCGGATCAGTTTGAAAAAATTGGGATATCTCGATTAATTTTCGCCTTACTTTTTGTGTTGTATTGACTTGGTTTTCATTTAGTTTTTTATTTCTCGTACGGCCCAGATTCTCCGAAAGACCGATTTACGGGTTTGACAACAACTTTCATTAGTCAACACGGATACATATGATGTAAATACTCGTTGGTGAATTGTGCATTAACCTCGTCATTGTATCTGTTGGTACTTTCAGCTTCTATGGCAAGGAAGATTTACCTGAGGGGAGGGATCGGAGTAGGTGCTTTCAAGAAGATTTACGGTGGCCGCAAGAGCAACGGCGTCAGGCCATCTCACTTTGCCAAAAGCAGTGGCTCAATTGCCAGGCACTGCTTGAAGCAGCTCGAGGCTCTCAACATCGTCGAGAAGGATCCTAAAGGGTAGGTCACCTCATTCATTTTTATTTTCATTGGGATTTCTTCAATGTATGCCGAACGCGCCATTTGTCCTTTTTCAACCATGCTTTTAATGTTCAGGGTCTACGAGTGATGCCCTGTGCCCCTTCATCCATTTTTTTCATTCTAAGCACTGGATTACTGGACCCGCCGAAGAAACTGCAAGATGGTCTTGGAATCCAAACATATGGATTGTGTTAAATCCTCTTGATTGTTATGTCATGTGATTTTCTTATGGTCTCGTTTTCTCATAGATTCTCTGTTTGCTCATCTTTAATGCTGTCCTCACCTGGTCAGCCGGTGTCTTTTGAAAACTTAATATTTAGAGCCCATTCTCTCACCACTAGCACTTTGCTGATATGTGAGGCAGGAACGGAATGTCATGCGGTAGGCTATATCATTATCGGAATTTTCTTTTCTCACTCCATGATTGTGTTCTACACAGAGGAAGGCGCATCACTTCCGATGGACAGCGGGACTTAGATCAAGTGGCGGGGCGCATTGCCGTTGCTACGGCTTAGTTCTATGAGCAGTAGGACTGGTAGACTGAAATTTGCAGTTTGAGCACTATGTGCTGAGTGAGACTGTGAAGGGCTTTGCAATATGACATGACGACCATATTTTAAGCATCGTTTTGAGTTTTCCAACAACGAGGTGTATGTGTCAAGTCAGACCGTTGTGTTTACTGGTCCTGCTTTCAGCAAGCGTAATGCTTTCGAAATATACATATTTTCATTTTATTGTAATGTGTAGAAGGGTTATTGTAGGCTGTTTTCGATGAAGGTTTTATATCCTGAATTGAGTACTAATCTTACCAAGCACCCGACGTACAATCACGTGCACGGGTAATCCTGAGGTTTGGTGATACTTGTACATGTTTCTGAATTCATTGGGTTTAGACCTCGAATCAGCCCTATCATTACTCGGTGTGATGTGTAATTGGCTTTGGAACCACACATCAACTCTCTACAACCAGTCCTTGCGTTCGATAATGACTTGAATTGTTTCTCAGGAACCATTTTGCTTATGCTACTATCTGAGAAGACTAAACAGTGAGGGCGGTGAACTGCGCAATAAGCACACAATAATTCTCTCGCTGAATCAACCATCCACACCAAAGCTCCGTTGGTTGCTAAGGCAGAGCCTCTGGCGGCCGTTCAAATAAGGGAATATTCACAGTTTCTCAAATCGTAATACTGGTTAGAGATGGTGTCTTCGGGTGCATGATACCACACCAATTCAGCAGCTACTGAGCGGAAGAAGCAACCTTCGTTCAACAACTGGTGCAACTATCTTCCCTGATCTGAAATCACTCTGATTTTCAATGAACCATGGTCGTTGGACATCATTTCAAGTACCGCAGTGCACCTTGGAGTTTGAGAATGCAGTAATTTCCTAGCAATTTGGTTGCACAGTACTCTTCTCCCTGCCCAACCACAGCACCAAGTCCGTGAGCCTCAAAGATTCCTGTTCTAATGAAAGTTGCGTAGGAAACAAAGTCCAACAATCAATATCCAGCCTAGAGAAGTTAGCCCATCGTACAAGAGTTTTGCATGTATTTTTTCCTATTGGAATTGATTTAACTTACACAAAGGTATACCTCTATAAATTAGTTTTTTTGTCTTACCAAATATGATTTTGATTATTATTACTATTGTTTTTATCTCTGTAGGCTATTACTCAAAGTTAACATTAAAAACTTGAGTATAAAACAGTTCTAATTAAAAAAGTTGTGAAGATATTTTTATAAACAAAATATTACAAATGTATATATATGTATATATATATATATATATATATATCAAAAAAATAGATGTTTTGGTTTTGTGTAATGCATGGCTAAGGTAATTTGCCTTCATGACTACTATTATTAAGCATATTAAAATATAAAAATAATAATTCAATTTATGATTTTATTTGAATGTCTAAAAATAAAATATTTTTCATGTTATTTTATTCTATATTTTAGATTAAACCATATATAAATATGAATGTTGAAAATTATATTTTCATATTTAAATAGATTGTTATATATTAAATATTTGTATAAAAATCTTTATTTTTAACTATTGTTTTAAAATTATAGAATTTACTTTTTACATCTTTTTATTAAATAAGTTATAAACATAAGAATTTGGCATAGATATTGATTAAATTTAATGTTTTTTTAAGCTAGAAAAACTAAATAAAATAAAATAAAATAAAATCTTTTGATTATGACTTAAATGAGTTTAATATGTAAGACTAATCTATAAGATTTCATAAAAAGAAATTTAAAATAATAAACAAAGAGTGTTAATTTCTAATTAATTCAAATTGATATTAATATAAAAATATTATAAAATTTATTAATAGTTAAATAAAATAATCAAGATGTTTTCATAAACTATATAATTTAAAGATATTGATTAGCTATGTGATTGATTTATTGATTTATATTTAAATTATCTTTTTTTAGATATATAAAATAAATAAATAAATAAAAATTTATTAATAAGCTCTAAAAATTTTCATAGGTAAATATTTAAATAAATGTATAGATAGATGAATAGATTTAAAAGGCATCTATGAATGTTAATAAATTTAAACTTATATTCCATGCTTTTATGTTTTTTTAAAATTTTTGAGATATATTAAAATATATTATATAAAATTTAAAAGTAAAAAATAATATTTATTATTTTAATATATTATTTATTATATTTTTATAATAATTTTTTTTACTAATATTAATATTAATATTAATATTATAATAAAATGAAAATTATATATTTTTATATTATTTTATTAAATAAATATATAAATATTCATATTTTTATAATTATGTAGTCTTATTGAATAAATTCTTATTCAAAATAAAAATAAAAGTACAAAATAAAAAAGAATGAAAAATACTAACTATAAGAAAGTCAATATATATAGAGATATTAAAAGTATAAAATAAGATAATATCTCTCTTCAAATATCTTTAATATATATATATATATATATATATATATATATGCAATACATACATATGTGGATATTATTCATTTGTTATAAATTATCACAGACATAATCAATATTAGTAATTACTTATATAAGAAGAATTTGGTAGAAGTGAATAAAAGTAGGTAAATGATATAATATCTTATAAAAAAACTTCTTAGAAGCTTCATAGATGCAGATTTGATTTCATACATGTTTATAGGTAATTAATAGGTTGAAAACTTGGCCAATAAACTGGTTACAAATCATACATGTCGATGACTTGTGGTACAAGTTGGCCATATGATGCACATATAGGAAACTTACTTCACAAGTTAGACTTATGTTTCATAAGTTAGACATGTGTTGAAGGCCCTATAAAATGTCACCACTAAATTCTTAGTTAAAATATATAGTTAGATTACTCATTTCTTTTGATAAGACATAAGCATATTAAAAGTTATGATTATCCACTTTTAAACTAATATTATTCATAGAACTTTTTTAGTTCTTGAATCTTGTCTTTTATTTGTCTTGAGTAATATTAAACATATTCTTTCTTATTGTGTTTTTATATCAAAGCTTATTAAAATAAGAAATACAATGGTACAAACTCAAGAACAAATGAAAAAAATAATGCTTTCTATGCATCAATTCAATTTACTACCACAAGAAACAATAAGATTAATTAGAAGTGAAGATATTGAGATGATTGGAGCTACTTCAATGTCTACAAATAATCATATTACTTATTCTATAATGTAATATTGTTTAAACATTAAAGAACTTATAATTGTTTTATATGAAAAATTTGATTGTACAAGATCAAAGTTTTGAAGATTTATCAATAAAGTACAATTGATGATTGAACTTCAACCTCAAAGTTATTCAATTTCAAGATTACAAGTAAAGTTTAATGGAACCTTGCTTTTAAGTTCAAATTTATTATATAATTTATATTTTTTTGAATAATATAATCTAATATTAGATAATTTAAAAACTTTTTTTGACAAAATTTTGATCCATGCGTGAAAAATATGATACAATTTATATTTATACTAATTAAATTTATATTTTGCATTAATAAAATGAATCAATTATATTATATGCTTTATAATTTAACAACTTGTAATTAAAATTAAATATGATAATATTATATTTATTAATTATTTAAAAAATATATATAATATAAGATAAAAAATTGATGCTAAAATTATATGATCTTCAAATATTGACTTTGCTATGAAGTGTAATAATTGACTTTTTAAATTTTGATATGACACCTATATAAGTGGGCTTCAATGTTTTTATACTTTAATAGAAACATTGATGTCCACTTTAGAAATATATTTGAAAGTTGAAGATATGAAAATTAATGCATTACATTTTAAATTTCTTAATAAGCAAAAAATGACTTCATGTTGTTAATAAAAATTATGCTTATATTGTAGAGAATTTAAGCACATTGTTCAATATTATCAAAAGAAGAAATATAACCACAAAATAAAAAGCATAGTTGTCAAAGAAGATAATATGTTGAAAAACAAGTTTGTCTAGTTACAATAGAAATTGTGAAACTAAAATCTTATACAACACCTTTTAAAGGTCTTATTTTTTCTTTAAAATCCTTTTTTTTGTTTTATACTAGATATTTACTTAGGATCTAAAAATCACAAAATCTCTATATTGGTAAATTTTAGAATCTTAGTTTATTTTTAGATAAATATTTTGTTAAAAGATGTATAATTCTTAATAAAAAAATTAAATCCATACATGTAAAAATTATAAATGGTTTTTTTTTTGTCTTCTAAAGATGTTACTCATAAAATCATTCTTGTAAATGTAGCAAAAAATGATTATAATAGTTTAGTGGTATTTAATATTATTAAATCTTTCTAATTAAATTATTTAAGGTTTATTGTGGTTAAAAAAAATTAATCTTTAGATGTATTAGATTTTTTATAGTCTTGATTTTTTGCAAAATAAAACTTATACTTTTGCTAATCAAATAGAAGGTTGCAAGTCTAGTATAACCAAATTTTTATTTGTAGATGTAAATTTTTTTTGCATATTATAAAAGAAGGATAATTTTTATTATTTATGCCACATCTATTTCTATTAGTCAAAAGTCTTTAAACATTATTACAATCTATTATTAAGATTATCTAGATATTTTTGAGAAAAAAGTATAGATATTCTTTTAGAGCATAGTTTCTATCATTGCTTAATTAATCTTTAAGAAAGAGTTCAATTGCCATTTGGACCAATCTATAGTTGATTGCAAAATAAATTGGCTAAAATTAAAGAACACATTGAAAAAAACCTAGCCAAGAACTTCATATGCCATTTAAAATCTCTAACAAGAGTTCTTATTTTGTTTGTAAAGAAAAAAGATGGATTGTTGTAGATGTGCATAGATTATTAAAGATTCAATAAAATAATCATTAAAATAGGTATTCTCTATCTTTGATATGAAGACTTTTCAATCAATTACATCTTACTAAGATTCATACAAAAATAAATCTACAAAGAGCATACAATTTAATATACTTTTAAAAAAAAAGATGAATAAAAGAATGTATTTTGAATAAAATTTCATGTCATTTGGACTTACAAATGTATCAATTTATTTTTAATATCTAATAAATAATTTTTAAAAATAATTTTTATATAATTTATTTTTTTATTTTAAAATAATATTTTAATCTATTCTAAAAATATAAAAAATATGAACTTTATATTTTTTATGTATTACAAAAACTTAGAGATTTAA